GAAGCAGGGAAGATCTGGCTGCATCAGAGAGGCTACGTCGACAGGGTGCAGAGGCGTTTTCTGCCAGAAGGACCTCCTCAGCGAGTTCCGAAGACACCAATTTCGGTCGACGCCTTCAAGGTGCTGACATTTGATGATGAGAAGTTGCAGGCGCGCACAGAAGAAGAGTATCGGCAGAGGGTCGGCTCTCTGCAGTTTGCTGCCTGCACTACTCGCCCCGACATCTCCTTCGCCTGCAGCAAACTTGCGTCTGGTCAAACGGTTCGAAGCGACCAGCATTGGAGGGAGCTCGACCGCTGCATTGCGTACCTTGTTGGGACGCGCGATGTTGCTCTCAAGTTCGGCGGCGGAAATGGAGAGATGCGTCTCGTCGGCTTCGCAGATGCAGACGATGCAAGAGACAAGCAGAATCGCAGCAGCACGGGTGGCTACATTTTCACTCTCGGTGGAGCTGCTATTTCATGGGCAAGTCAGAGGATCAGGTGCATCACTCACTCTTCTACAGAGTCGGAGTACATCGCTGCAGTGGAGGCTGGAAAGGAGGCTCGAAAGCTTCGTTTTTTGATGGCAAAATTTCGCATACTCGACGAGACGTCACCAACGATTATCCACGTCGACAATCAATCTGCGATTTCTGTGTCTGTAGGAATGGGGCTCAAGGGAAAGCTGAAGCACATGGAGCGGCGCTACATGTGGCTGCAGAGCATGGTGAAACGTCGCAAGATGAAGCTACAGTACATTCCGACGACCGAGCAGCCGGCAGATTACTTGACGAAAGCACTACATTTCCCTGCGTTCAACAACTGCTTTAAGAAAGTTGGTCAAGTAAGGCTTTCGGCGAAGGGGAGCAGTGCAGAGGGTCCTCTCGACGTGGAATAGGTGCCATGACCTTTTCATGGCTGGTGCGGTGATGGTGTGTGCGAATTGCAGATTTCTGCAATTCTTGAATGTTTCTTTTCTGCATGTTTTCTTTCTTTATTTATTTCTGTTCTGCTCTTGTGTGTGGTGTAGATGGGTCAATTTCCTCTGCGACGACCAGCATGATCAGTGCAGGGGAGTGTTGAGATTGCACTGACCCTGCAGAGGGTCGTCGTGTTTTGCAGGGACGCGAAAGTCTCCCGAAGCGGAAATTTGCAGAGGACAGGGTGGAGCTCTGCACTGCAGCAGCAGGACTTCGCAGAAGCGGAAATCTGCAGAGGATCGTGGTGCTGCAGAGGAGGGCGAATCTGCAGAGCAGATTTCGGAGCTGCAGAAGAAGGCGCATCTGCAGAGATTTCGGAGCTGCAGAAGAAGGCGCGTCTGCAGAAACAAAATTCTGCAGAAGACCACAATCTCGATCGGCGAACCCTTCCGACGCGAAAACGCGATCGTTTCGGAACTTTTGCGTGGGAATTTCGGAACATTGCGGACATTGAGAAATTGACCCCGGGGAACAGTGCGCGGAACTAGGGTGTTCAATCTGGGGCGAAATTGAACCACCTGCACAGAATGAACCTGGCGCACGTTTTCGTAACTACGAAAACGTGCGTTACAGAAGTTGTTTAAAACAACCTGAACAGCTAAAACAACTACTTTTGGGTAGGTCAAAATTACCTACTAAGCACATGTTGTAATTTTCACCTGCCGACGCTGAGTTGGCAAAGCGCAGCTAAAAGTAGTTATGTAAACGTTCTTGGGCGAACGTTCTCTGCATGGTTCATTGGTTGGGTAGCTTCTATTTCACCCCTTGTTGTATTCTATCTTTTAACTATTCTAGTGAATTTTCTGTGTGTGCCAAATCTATGCCTTCAAGGACTTGGACAAATTTCTGTCTCCTTAGTGAACCACCAATATCGTGTCTACGCAGAAAGCATTCCGTAGAGCTCGTTCATCCGTTAGAGCAGAAATCTCTTCATTTTCCTCTCAACAAAGCGCAGGAAACAACCACCGCCGTATAATACCAACAACTATTTATTATGCAGCTGCCCGTCTTCCCGCACCAAGTTCACATTTAAGTCGTCTCAGAAGGCGCAAAGGCCAATCCGACCTTCCATTCCATCGTGTACTTGCCCTCTTCCCACACCAACTCGCAGCATCTCACCTGGTGCATTTCCTATTTCCTGCTCGCCCATGCCTCCTCTCTCTCCCTGCTATTTAGACAACTTTTTTCACCCCTCGTCTCCCCTCCCGTCACCTGCCCCTCGGCATTGCACCTGGTGCATCTGCTGCTCTCCCACGCCTCTCCCTACCCCAGTGTGTGGCCGTCTACCTGCACGTGATCGCATACAATGCAGCAGCCATCTGTTTTTATTGATCGCTGCGATTCTGCTGTCACCGCCGCCTCCCATGCTTCTGATATCTTGAGGGGGGCGGTCATGTCGCGCTGCTTTTTGCGAGTTACGTCAATGGCTGGTTGCCACTCAATTCCAGGTTTTGTTTTCTGGGTGTGCTGGATGTTGTGGTTTTGTTCTTTTGCTTGCTTGCTGTGAGTGCACCGTGTGTTAACCCACACTTACATGTAACATATGGGTGCACACAGACAAACGCGCCCTCTGGCCTATCCGCTAACACATCCTCTCAGGCACACTTCCCGACAATTTGTTGACAATTGTTTCAAAAGTGCCATACATAGATGATGTGTCTACCCGATTTTCCACTGCTTGTTTCGCTTCCTTGCCTTCCCACTCCGTTCTTCACCTCAGGTCCCAGATGCAAGGGCCAACTCTCCAGCTACTGTAACCTGCAGTCGCAACAACTTCTACTACAGTGTCTACTCACATGTCCCTAGTATGCATTCGTCCGCCTTCTTCTCTTTTCCGAGATTTTATGCACTCTACATGGATTTGCAAGTGTTTGGAGTTTTTCGGATCAACTTTCCTTGCTAGAGATGCATCTAGGTTTGCTTAATTTGTTTTGTGGACTGTATATACTGTATGGTCATTTTATTTTACTGATTTCTTTTCTACATCCAAACCGGGTCGGTTCGTAAGGATGCAGATTCCTTGTGGTCCAAGTTGTCAAGTCAAGGGAATGCCAGCAGGACGACGCACGGCCAATCGGGAATGCGGCCGCCAAGTACATGCCGCTGTGTGAATGGCCAGCTCCTCCCGAACCAGGTGTGCTGGCCCGTTTTGTTCGGGTCAACTATCTGTGGAGGGGTCCGCGCAGGCAACCTTGCACTGCTGTCAGCAAGGCTGGCAGTTACGAGCAGTGATGAAAAGTCAAACACTTTCTTGACTGACCCACTGCCTGCGATTGGTGGATCGTAAACTGGTCGGTAAACGCTTCGCGCATCCTGCATGTTTGTGAATCGAGAATGCCTCCATCCTCCTCTTCGCGCTTCCTGCATGTTTGAGAATGCCCATCGCCAGGCATAAAGGGCCTCTCATCATCTTCACCTTTCTGGTTGTGTCATTTGGCTTACATATTTCCCATAATCACCACCACACTCTATCTCCTTGCTACGAACTCCTCATTTTTTTATTACAACTAGGGTTACGGAGTGTAATAAGGGATCCTGCGCACCTGATACTGCTAGAGAATACAACCGCAATGGCTAATTCATTTTCCGGGCAGCTTTTCGGCTCCACCGGAATGGCCCTGCTGCTTGTGGCCACTTTGCTCGCCCAGCTATCCACGACCACCCGCGCAATTCCCGTGACCGATTTGAAATTACCCTACCAGCCATACGATAATCATTTCAGACTCATGAAGCATTTGTTCGAGCTGGACGGTACTACAGACATCTCCAACGTGACGATACTCCTCCCATCGCTCGACGCCTTGTACACCGCGTCTGAGAACTACCCCAAGCATGATAACGCCACGCGCAAATTCAACCAGGCGATCGCCGATGCGCTCACGCTCATGTACTAAGGGGGCATGTACGGGGATAGTAAGTGGGTCGTTGGGACGAACATCTCCACTGCGGTTGCGAAAGCGATGCTGGACATCTGGAAGTTTCACATTGTGAAGCAGTACATCCCGCTCGAAGTCGCGAAGCAGAAGGTACGTCTATCATGACTGGACCGCAGTGGAACGCTGTGGGCCACTGTGAACCGCAGTAGACCGCAGTGGACCTGCAGTGTATGTTCACGCATCTGGAGGTTTCAGATTGTGAAGCAGTACATCCCGTTCGAAGTCGCGAAGCAGAAGGTGATAATCTGAACCGCCGTACATCATGCCTGGACCGGAGTGGGCCGAAATGGACTGCAGTGGACCGCATTGAACATGTTTACGCATCTGGAAGAACGGGAGTGCAGTAATCCGGGCGAATCAAGCTTCCCAACAAGGCCTGTAAAGTAGAAAATGGAGTCACTCCGTTTTGGAATGACTGTTATGTAGGAAATGACAGTGGTCCTCGTATTTGAGAGCCTGAGAACGGATCCCACCGCGGCATCCCATCCCACCGTACCGTAGTCACGTTTTCTTTTCAGATGACTCGTTATTCAACCGTCTCGCCCTCCCCGCCGCTCTATACCCCCTATTGCCAGTACTCATCTATCGGCGGATATTGGGAGCTCCCAACAATGCAGGGACAGCCTCTCTGGATGTCGTACGATCCGGTGCATCGCGGCATGTGGAACTTCTCGGGCATGTCTCCTCAGCAAAAGGCCAGCTCGCAGCTTCCGAGAAGCAAGATCATCAACGAATACGGCTATGTGGTGAATGATGGAACCCCGTATGCAACCTCTTCGGTGGAAGAAGTACGTGTGGTGGATGATTTTCCCAGCAGCGAGGTCGTGGTCTACCAGAGCCATCATGTTCTTATGCCTTATAACGTGGATGCTCTTGGCGCGTATGCCGGTACGTACACATGCACAGTGCACGTACTCACACACATGCACGCGCGCGCGCGCACACACACGCACACGCAGTGCACACACACACACAGACACACACACACACACTCACACACACTTGCACGCACACACACACATGCGCTTGCATGCACGCACGATGCATCTAAGTAATCCAAACAATCTAGACGTATTCCTCTTACATAGTGCCACTTGATAACTCTAAGATCCCCCTCCTTGGTTCTTCCATTCTCCTGCAGGAGCCACTGCCTCCATCTTCCACCTGCTTGCCTCCATTGGCCTGGCTCTCACTGCATTACTCCTGCTGTAACCGCACTCCTGCCGCTGTAGCTGCACTCCTGCTGTGACCGCACTCCTGCTGCTGTAACCGCACTCCTGCCGCTGTAGCCGCACTCCTGCCCGCACTCCTGCTGCTTTAATCGCCGCGCTCCTGCTGTTGTAACCGGCACACTTTTGCTGCTGTAACCGCTGCACTCTTGTTTCACAGCAACGTGTTGTTAGCGAGATCAGCAAATTGAATGGTAGATGTGCCAAACCATAGACCCATCAGGTGCTGTCCGCAGGGCTTCACTTGCTCGCACGGCTTGGTGTCGCAGGGGAAGCCATTGCTTTGGCAGCTTGCAATGCAATGCTTGTTGCCAATTCCATCCCATCTTATCTCGTCTCACATCCAGCCTTTCAGTATTTCCCTCTCTACACAAAAGTGGTTCTGCAATGGCCTCCCTGGAAGCCCGGCATTGTGAAACATACACCGGAACTTAAAAGTACATGCTTTCCAATGCAGGAAACAATCACCAGCATATGATACCAACAACTATCCATAATGCAATGGCAATAGGCAGGTACTGTCACGCCTGCCACAGCACTATACCCCTGTGTTTGCTTGCTCCTCCACTGGAAGAACATCCAAGCCACCACCTAATGCCGCTCCGCAAACCTCTCAACCAAACCCCACCCCACATACACACCTCTCAACTCAACCGAACCCTGCCCTCACACCTGCCAACCTGCTGTAAAGCTTTAAAGCTCGTGCAGGAAGTCCGAACACCTCATATAATCTCCAATCTACACCAGGCCTAGGAGGGCCATATTGCCCCGGACCTGCTGGCCCAGGCCCGGGGTACTGTTGGGGAGGGTAGGGTTGGGATGGAGGTCGGGAATACTGCTGCTGTGCACCTGGGGGAAAACCTGGGTACTGTTGTGGCCCACCTGAAGGGCCACCTGGGTACTGTTGTTGAGCACCTGGAGGGGCATCTGGATACTGTTGTTGGGCACCTGATGGACCACCTGGGTATGGGTGTTGGGGACCCTGCTGTGGTGCATACTGGGATGGGGGCGGCATGTATGGCTGTTGCTGATACTGATGCTGCTGCTGCTGCTGCTGCTGAAATTGTTGCGGCTGCTGATAGTGTTGCTGCTGCTGGTATCCCATGGGAGGAGGAGGGTACAATCCCGGGTGACCCCCCTGCTGCTGCTGATAGGCCCCTGGGTGAACGGGAGGGGCACCTGGGGGAGGCATACCTGGGGCAGGCTGGTAGAGCTGGGGATGGTGGGGGGCAGGATAGGGGGCGTGGCCAGGTGGAGGGTACGCATGAGGCGGGTATGGGTATGGTGGAGCAGCAGATGCAGCCGCAGGCGCATCACCACCGCCAGCAGCATTACCACGCCCTCCCCCTCCCCCTTCTCCGCCTCCTCCCCCTCCCCCTCCTCCTCCTTCCCCCTCCCTGTTGCGAGTGCGTGCCCCCATCCTCTCAGGGTTCATAGACGGATACATAGAAGCAGACGTCGCCGGACCTACCGCCGAACCTGCCGCAGCCCGAGGTAGCAACCCGAAGCTGCCCCCAGCCGAACCCTCTCCCGCACCACTCCCCCCAGCCGCACCACCCGACCCCCCTCCATCTCCCCCCTCTCCCCCCTGCGTCCCCTCACCTTCCGCTCCCCCATCCCCCCCACCCGGCCCCCCCGCTCCCCCCGCTCCACCTTCCAGCAACCGCTTTCCTCCCCCGTCGCCCCCTCCTTCCAAAGCCTCTGCTTTGGGTCACCCCGAGTCTAGCTTGAGCCGAATCCCTTTGACTATGAGCTTGTTGGCCAGCCCCTCTGCTGCCTTCTCAGCATCCTCTCGCGTGGTGAATGTGACGAAGGCACAGCTGCGCGGGGTGATGAGACGGATCTGACTCGATTTCCCCGTACGCATAGAACTTGTCCCTGTTCTGCACACGGGCGGGGGAGGGAGTGGGGGAGATAGTGAGAAGAAGAGCCCCTCAGCGGCCTTCTCGGCATCCTCGCGCGTGGTGAAGGTGACGAAGGCACAGCTGCGCGGGGTGATGAGACGGATGGACTCCACCTCCCCGTATGAATAGAACTTGTCCCTGTTATGCACACGGGCGGGGGAGGGGAATGGCAGGGGAGGAGAGGGGGGAGGAAGGGGGCGGGGTGGGAGAGCGACACACACACACTTATAATCAGCCTCTGTGATGCGTGGGAAGTCGAGTCCATCCGCCCCAAAAAGCGTCCTGATGCTCGTGTTGTCCACACCACACCAGACCACCACACCGCACCGCGCCGCACCACATTGCACCGCAGCACACCACTCACTTGAGATCAGCTTCAGTAATTTAATGGCTGAATCTGGTTACTCGCCACGCAAATGAATCTGGTTACCAGTCTGGTAACAGTTTGCCCAGTAACCCCTCACCTGGTTACCGCCTTGCTGCAGCGCCGCCACCTCCTCAGGGGTGAACTTGGCCATTGACACGGACTTGAGGCGATGCGTGTACTCGCGGCTGGAAACGGGCAAGGGAAGGAGGGGGGGAGACGGAAGAGATGTGGTACAGCAGATTGTTCAGGATAGAGTAAATTCTTTTTGCGAACTGTTATGTCAATCGGGCCATGAAACCAGGGTTATTGCAATGCTTTCGCACAAGCGGAAATGGTTAAGTCGGGAAAGGGGAAGGCGGGAACGAAGCACGATGAGAAGTGTGATAATGGTGACTCTTGCGTTGACTCCGAAGTCACGCTCTCGCACGAGCGCTAAGGGTGAAGGCGGGAAAGGAGGGGTATGTGGAGTGAAGGAAGACTCACTGAAATCCGCTGCACGCGACGCAGACAAACTTTGCGAAATTCGTGCACACATATTGAGGGCCCTGCGACAATCAGGGTAACGCATGGATGATCGTGGTATGATAAAGCGATGTAGCAGTTAATATTAAGATTTACATGGTCTTGTTGCGAAGGCTGGATCGAAATAAAGAACGATGTGTGCGATATGTGATCTCGAAGCCGGCAACGGATTAACGCTTAACGCGGAGAAACGTAAAGTCGAAATTATTACATTCTAAACGACGACGCATACCCCGTAGCATCTTGAAAGGAGCTCGTGCAACTCATCGCAACTAGCTTATCGTAATGCCAACAGGCTTAGCAATCTCGAACAGCCTGTGTGAATAAAACAAACGCTTTTCGCTGCGAGGAACAGATCTACACTGTTTACCGGCTCGTTATGACTTCTAAAAGGTTACCTGGCGATGCTACTTGTAATGAATATGAATTCATTACTGTAGAGGCTGCTCCTAGCGAGGACAACCCCGAGCATTTCGCGTAGTTTCGAGGTTCGGCCTACACTTCGGACCGAACCACTGCTGAGTCGCCCCGCACCAATCGCGACACTTCCAACCCATCCACGTCCCGAAATCCTCGCCTACCACGGTTTCAACCCTATAAATGCATGCCTCTTTATCATTCTCGACATTCTGTATTCGACATCCTTTTTATAAAGTCTTCCGCGCACTCTTCTTAGTACAACTCATAACACTTGGTATCAGAGCCTAAGTTCCTAGGTTCCCTGTTTTTTAGAGTGTATTACCCCTCGGGGCGGGGGGGGGGGGGAAGGACAGGGAAAGATGCCGTAGTGACAGGAGCAGCGCAATAGCCGGCCAGGAGAACGGATAGTTGCTCCTAGCGGCCATGTTTTTACGGGCGCTCCTGCTGCACCGACGGATCCTTGCCCCCGACGGTCGAGATGGACCGTGGCCTCCCTCCCCCCGGGTGGCGGACAGCTTTTGCTGTCGTCGTTTTTAATTGCGTGCGTTGATTTCGTCGTTTCCGTTAATCTCGGCGCTGTTTTTATGCGGCAGTTGGCGTAAGGAAGATTGTCGTCACTACATGCGCGAGATTCTCGGAGCAGCAGTCGTGCGAGTTGAAGTTTTCACGTGGTCGTCAGCTGCGCACGAAGAAATCGGAGTTAATGCGTGCGGCAAGTGGCGTCGGGCGATTTCGTCACGTTGCGCACGAGATTTTCGGAGGTCTTCGGCACGTGGTGATCGTCGTCACTGTGCGCGAAGATTTAGGGTGGCTTCACGGTAGAAACGACAGCTGGCCGGGCAGGCCAGGCGCATGGTGATTTGCGTCGGAAAATGTAACGAGAGATTGCGTGGCGACTGCCCGAAGAAAGCGGGGGTCTCCCGTCGTCCCGCCCGGGTGCAGCCGGTGTGGCTGCAGGAGGGTGCGTCGTTGGCGTTTTCGGCAGAGCGGCACAGTGTGGAACGGAAGTTGTTTTTCGAACCAACGAAAAGATCAGAAAAAACCATCTACGACTAGACTGCCTATCGCTAGGGTCACTGCTGTACCTGCAACAAGATCGGCGACATTTTCGGAGCAATAGCAACGGCCGACATTTGTGCTTCAGGCGGCACAGCACCCCCTGATCAAGGGTAGTTGCGCCGCAGACAGGGCAGTACACCAGCGGGACAACGTTTCGACGCAGTGTTTTGTGAAGAATGAGGAATGAATGAACTAGCACAAGGTTGGGTACAAGTAGGAAACCCTAGGAAACTGTACCCCATAGTGTCTACCCCACTATAGCCTAGACAAGCTATATGATATAAGTTTGACACACCCCCATAGGCAAAGTGGGGGAGAACAAGAGGTCAAAAGACCAGTCAAGCAAAGCAAAGCAAGCTCAGGGTGGATCACAACGTCACCACACAATCCGAGCACAAGAGCAAGGCCACAAGGCCAATTCACATGCAAGATCATATATAAAAGTAAACAAGCAAGTGCAGGTATAGAAAGATCACAGGACAAGCAAGGTCAAGAAGTGAGCAAGTGAGGCCAAGTAGGCACAAGACCTAGCATAGTACAGAAGCGCTGATGATCACCAGGCGGAAGTGCCTTGGTAAAGATATCAGCAGTGTTGGCCTCAGAGGCCACGTAAGCAAGGCGCAGCTGACCACGCTGCTGCAGCTCACGAGCAATGAAGTAGCGGAGAGCAATGTGCTTCGTTCTGTGCTCCAGTCTGTGCTCCCGACACAAGGCCAGCATGGCCTTGTTGTCTACGTACAGAACTGGAGGAGAACGAGGCGGCTCTTCTAGGTCAGTCAGCAGGTAGGTGAGCCAGCGTAGCTCCTGTGCAGCCATGGCCCCCGCGTAGATCTCAGCCTCACAGCTGGAGCCGAGAACAGAAGACGAGCGGGTAGACCGCCACGAGACAGAGCCGGAGCCAAGGCTGAAGGTGTAACCCTGTGACGACCGGTGCGTAGCCTGGTCGTCAGCCCAAGAAGCGTCTGCGTGACCTGTGAGGACCACTCGACGTCGCCCTCCAAGCACTAGCCCCATGCCCGACGTACTGCACAAGTAGCGCAACACCCTCTTCGCTGCAGCCATGTGCTCTGGTCGGTGTCTCCTAGGAGCAACATAGCGTGCCAAGATGCTAAGAGGGTATGCAAGGTCAGGTCGTGTGCAGGTCATCAGGTACATGAGGCAGCCAACAAGCTCTGGGTACGGGCCACTCGGCTCTACGGACTCATCCGAAGGCAGAGCTGAGAGCGAGTGGCGAGTAGACAGAGGAGTGGCCTGAGGCGAGGAGTACGTGAAGTCGAAGCGCCGAAGGACCTGCTGCACCATGTGTGACTGAGTCAGGGTAATGGTGCGCAGTGCTCTGTCCCGGGTGATCTGCAAGCCAAGGTAGCTGCGCAGTTCACCCAGGTCTGTGCACGTGTGTCTCTTCTGCAGCTCGGACTTCACGTGGGCGAGTCCAGCAGTGTCAGCAGTGGCAAAGACCAAGTCGTCGACGTACACGAGGATGTAGAACGGCGGCAAAGAGGTGTCGGTGCGCAGAAACAACGACGGGTCGGCTGTAGAAGGAGCAAACCCAAGAGCCGCAAGTGTAGTCCTCAGTGTGTCGTGCCACTCACGGGGCGCCTGGCAGAGACCGTAGACTGGCCGCCGGAGGCTCCACTGGGTACCAGGAGGAAACGACCCAGTGAAGCCAGGTGGGCGGCGCAGCCAGATCTCCTCGTGCAGGCTGCCCTGCAGGAAAGCTGTGCTGAAGTCAAGAGAGTGAAGCTCGTAGTCGCGCTGAGCGGCTATGTGCAGCAGCACCCGAAGAGTGGTCATCTTCGGGGTGGGAGAGAAGGTCTGAAAGTAGTCAACTCCCTGCCGCTGGCTGAAGCCTCGAGCCACGTAACGCGCCTTGAAGACAGGCGGAGAACCCGGCGGCCGCTTCACCCTGAAAATCCACATGCCACTGACGATGTTCGCCCCAGGTGGGGGAACCTCGTCGACGTAGGTGCCTGTGGACTTCCAAGAAGCCATCTCTGCGTCCATGGCTGACTGCCACTGAGAGGAGTAGGGACCCTCGATCGCCTCAGCGTACGATCGAGGAGTCGGGATGTCTGGTGCATCCGGGTCTCCCTCAGGGGCAATCAGCGTGGACACGAGATGAGGCAAAGCAGCAGCAAAACACTGGAACTCCTCCTGCCTGTCCTCAAGGACGTCCGTGCTAAGAGCACACTCACCCCCGACGGACGGAGGACAGACAGACTCAGACTCAGCAACAAGACTAGCAGCGTAGTCTAAACGACAGCGAGCAGCAAAGTCGACAAGCTCAGCAACTAGAGCCGACGCAGCAGTGGACTCAAAGGAAGGGTCAGTGACAACAGTGGCCAGGAGACGCGTGACAGTAGGACTGGCAGCACGAAGAGAGTCTGACTCCGGGTCAGCAAGAACAGGAAGAGAGGACTCTGGAGGAGACGGCAACGGGACACGCAGAGGAGCAGTGGAAGGACGCAGTGCCATCTGGTGTGTGCCTGGGACCGCAGGAGGACGCGGACGCGGAGCACGACTACTAGTGCGAGCAGCACGAACAGGCGACGCAGGACGAGACGCAGGCTCACGACGCTCAGCAAGACCTCCAGTAGGACCAGTGTAGGGAGAAGGAGCAGATAGAGGGGAGGCGGGCTGTAACTGTGACTGCGACCGGACAGGCGGTGGACACTCTAAGGGAGGAGCAGGACCAGTAGAGGGCGGGAGACCAAGAACCTGCTCAAGGAGCGGAACGAAGTACGGCCGCGGCCGCGCAGTGCCTCCAGAACCAGCAGGGACAGCACCAGTACTCCCAGCGGCAGCACCAGCGCCTGTAGCACCTCCAGCTCCAACAGCGCCAACTCCAGCACCCTCAGAAGCACCAGCGCCAGCAGAACCACCAGCGCCAACACCCCCAGCAGCTCCAGCTCCAGCAGCTCCAGCAGCTCCAGCAGCTCCAGCAGCACCAACTCCAGCAGCCCCAGCAGCACCCCCAGTCCCAGCAGCTCCAGTACCGCCAGTACGAGCACCTCCGGGACCAGCAGCAACAGTAGTGCCTCCAGCTCCAGCAGCACGGCTCCAGCGCCGGGCAAACCACTCGCGCAGCTCCTGCGGAGAGAGTGGCTCCCGCCTCGACGAAGCACCGCGAGAGGCCACACGAGCAGACCCAGCACCCCCAGGCTCCGTACCCCCAGGCTCAGCACCCCCAGACTCAGCATCCCCAGGCTTAGCACCCCCAGAGTCAGCACCCCCAGGCTCGGCACCCCCAGGCTCCGCACCCCTGGACTCAGTACTCCCAGGCTCCGCACCCTCAGGCTCAGCACCTCCAGACCCGGCACCCGCAGGCTCAGCACCTCTAGCAGCACCAGAGTCATCAGCTACCTCGACAAGCTCGACTGCGTCTACCTGGGACACACCTGACGGGGCAGGACCCTTAGGGGGGAGGGGGTCTACCGGGGGAGGACCTGGCGCAAGGAAGAGCGGCGGCGGGGGGAGGGGCGCAGTGCGGTAGGGGAAGAGACGGTAGTAAGGCACCGACTCGTCAAAGGTGACGTCCTGGGAGGACAGAACACGGCGCGAGGTGGGGTGGTAAAACTGCCACCCAGGCGCGTCAGGGGGGAAGCCAAGGAAGACGCAGGGAACAGCACGGGGGGACAGTTTGTCCGCAGACAAGTCGCGGACAAACGCCCGAGATCCCCAGACCCGAAACGCAGACGCATCGCCAACCTTCCCCGTCCACCGCAAGGTGGGGGAGGTCTCTGGCAAGGAGACCCGGGGCTGAAGGTTGAGCTGATGCGATGCGTACTGAACCGCAAACGGCCACAGAAAATGGGGGGCAGCCGCATGGATCATGGACGTACGAGCGACGTCCATGACCATGCCAATGCGGCGCTCAGCAATCCCATTTTGCTGTGGAGAGGCCGGAAGCGTGAAGGTCTGGCGGATGCCCTGTGCTCGACAGAAGGCTCCCAGACGGGCAGAGGAAAACTCCCCGCCTCTGTCAGAGTGCAGACGCAGAACAGGAAAGTCCGAGCCGAAACTCTCTCTGAGCTGGAGACGAGTTGCGCGGATCCAATCGATCAACACCTCAGTGACGTCACCCTTGCTGCGCAAGGGGAAGACTGTGGTGTAACGCGAGTAGTCGTCAACCACCAACAGGAAGTAACGCTCGTGCCCCTGGCCACGGACGCGGGCGGGGCCCCACACGTCCATGTGAAGAGTCTGCAACGGAACCTCTGTCGGAGGAAACTCGGAGGAGTGAGGGGCGGCGCGCTGTCGCCCCTCGACGCAGGGGACGCAAGTAGGGGCAGGCCCCGGAGGTAGGGGAGGGAGAGACCGGGGGAGACCAGAGACAAGGACACGGGAGGCCATGCCTCGGAGACGAGGCAGGGAGGGGTGACCAAGGCGGTGGTGCCAAAGGAGAGTCTGGTGGGACAGGAGACGACACGAGCAGGGAGCAGACTCAGGACCAGACCTGGACGCTGCAGCAAACACCTGACTCGACGCAGCTACCTGACCAGACTCAGCAGCCGGAGGAGACTCAGTAGTAAGTGTGTACAGGCTCGACCCCGGCCGACGGGTGAATGTGGCCAAGTGTCGGCCTGTCCGAGCACACGTGCAGTGGGTCACCCGCTGACTCGCAGGAGTGAACTGGTCAACCCCCCTATCCTGTAGATCAGCTCCACTCACCAAGTTCGTAGAGAACGAGGGGAGGTAGAGACCTGACAGGGTGCCAGAGGGGGCTGCCGGGCACGGTAAGACAGTGGAGAAGCTAGCAAGGACAGGACCCCCAGAGGGGTCCGCCAGGGAGACCGCAACCGGCCGACTAAGCGGCGTAAGCGTGGTGCAGTCTCGAAAGAAGGAGCGGGAAGCACCCGAGTCAAGGGTGAAGGTGTGTAAGGCCTGAGCCGACGTAGTACCTGAGAGAGCAGACTCACCAGCACCTGGGGCAGCAGACGCACTAGCACCTAGAGCAACAGCCTCACCAGCACCTAGAGCAGCAGCCTCAATGCCCGGGTCAGGCGGAACACACAGGTAACAGTCACCCTCAACACTATCAGACACAGCATACATGGCAGCAAGAATAGCATCATAATCAAGATCAAAGATAGCAACCCCCACCCTAGACAGCTCTCCCCAGCGAGGGATCTCAGTGGCGTTAGGGAACTCGTGACGCCACGCGTCCGCCAGGCGGCCGAAGCAGCGCTGGGTGGAGTGCGGGCCCCCGCACTGCTCACCAGCGCGGTCGCCGGTACGGAGGACGTAGGTACAGGGACCAGTACCCCCACCGCGCTGACGCGCAGCGTACCACTCACGAAGCTGCTGAGGGGACAGGGTCTCACGACTGCGCTGCTGCTGCTGGCGCGGACCACCACCGGACCCACTCCTCTGCGCAGAGCCGCGACCAGCTCCACCGCTGCCGCCGCCGCCTCCGCCACCTCCGCCGCCTCCGCCACCTCCTCCGCCTCCGCCACCTCCGCCACCTCCGCTCCCTCCGCCACCGCCGCCGCCTCCTCCGCCTCCACTGCTGCCACCGACACCTCCACCCCCGCCACCACTCCCACCACCACCCCCACCCCCTCCACTGCCTCCACCACCACCTCCACCGCCCCCGCCAGCCCCTCCAGCGCCCTTGCCCCCCTTGCCCTTGCCGGTGCGGCGTCTCCCGCTAGGGGCAGACGCAGCGCCGACCGACTCGAAACCAACGAGGTCGGCCGCAGCAGCAGAAGCAACAGAGGGCAAGAGGGGGGAGGGGGAACACCCCTCAAAGACGGGGGTGCGAGGGTCACCACGAGAGGCTCCTACAGCGACTATGCTCTTCTCTGCTGCTAGGAGGCGCTCCTCGAGGAGGTCAACGGTGAGTGTGGTGGGGCAAACTGAGAGGAAGTGGTCCCTGACTAAGCGAAGGGAGTCAGGGAGCCGGGTGACTATGTAGTAGAGGGTGATGTACATGGGGGGGGGGTTCTTGGCACAGAACTCAGCAGGAAGCACAGCGCGGTAGCGAGTGTCACTAGTGCAAAGGTGCGTAATGAGGTCAGCGACTGTGGGAAAGGCAGCAAGGTCAGGGAACAGGTACGGCAGCATGAGGCGGCTAAGCGCAGCAGTGGCAGGGGAGGAGTAGCGTGCAACTACAGCGTCGTACAAGGTCTTAGCACTCTTGTACTGGCTAAAGTGAGCACGCTCAGTGGCCGGTAAGTGGCGACGCACAGCAAGGCGGACAGCAGCATCGCGTGTGGCCCACTGTGAGCGAACAGTGCTGTCAGCAGTAGCAGGCGGGGCAGGAGAGGCGCCAGAGGTGAGATCGAACAGGGAGAGTCCGTCTGCCCTATCGCACTGTAGGAACAGCTGGAGGTCATCGACCCAGACCTCAAAGTCAACAGCACGACCCTCAGCATCAAAGGTAAGGACACTGGGGGTAGCCATGACTGCAGTGGCCTAGCAGGGAGTGATCTCACTAGTCCGAGTAAGTAGGGCCGGGGCGCGCCGGTAGGAACAGTAGCGGCTCGACGGCAGGGCGGCTCGGCGACCCGGCTGCTGGGCGGCTCGGCGGCTCGGTTGCTGGGCGGCTCGGCGGCTCGGCGGCTCGGCTGCTGGGCGGCTCGGCGGCTCGGCTGTTGGGCGGCTCGGCTGCTGGGCGGCTCGGCGGCTCGGTTGCTGGGCGGCTCGGCGGCTCGGCGGCTCGGCTGCTGGGCGGCTCGGCGGCTCGGCTGTGGGGCGGCCCGGCTGCTGGGTGGTTCGGCTGCTCAGCTGCTGGGCGGCTCAGCGGTGGAGGGGCCGGTAGAGGCGGCGACGGGGCCGGTAGAGGCGGCGATGGGGCCGCCAGGGGCGGCGACGGGGCCGCTAAGGGCGGCGAGGTGGCCGCGAAGGGGCGGCGACGGAGCCGCGAGGGGCGGCGACGGGGCCGCAGAGGGGCCGCAAGGGGCCTAGAGGGGCGGCGACGAGGCCGCGAAGGGGCCGTAAGGGGCCTAGAGGGGGCGGCGACGGGGCCGCAAGTGGCGGCGACGGGGCCGCGAAGGGGCCGCGAAGGGCCTAGAGGGGCGGCGTCGGGGCCTAGAGCGGCGGCGACGGGGCCGTGAAGGGGCCGCGAGGGGCCTAGAGCGGCGGCGACGGGGCCTAGAGCGGCGGCGACGGGGCCGTGAAGGGGCCACGAGGGGCCTAGAGGGGCGGCGACGGGGTCGCTAAGGACGGCGACGGGGCCTCTAGGAGGGCGCGACGTGAGGGCGGCCTACGGGGCACGCCTCGGGCAGGAAAAAAAAGATCGAGTTAGGTGGTGGGCCCTGAGAAGCGTTCCCACGAGGGAACCTGCTCTATACCATGTGAAGAAAATGAGGAATGGAAGAAGAGGAAGAAAAAATTCGTCGCACGCAACGTGGCGTGCAACGCACAGAGTAGCAGCGGAAGCAGTTAGGTGGGCCCACAGGCCAGGAGCGTAGATGCTCTGATACCATGTGGAGAATGAGGAATGAATGAACTAGCACAAGGTTGGGTACAAGTAGGAAACCCTAGGAAACTGTACCCCATAGTGTCTACCCCACTATAGCCTAGACAAGCTATATGATATAAGTTTGACATGTTTAGACCCGCGATTTTCGGGGGTTCTACCGGCTACAATACACGGAGTTGCGTCGAGATCGGGTTTAGCGAGAGAAACGGGTTTCGAGCTTCAGGAGGCGAGAATTACGACCCACGGGGAAACGCTCAAGCTGATGTCTAAACGTTTGTGGCTAAGCGGCGGTAGCCGGATGGGTACCACTACCGGCCGAGGTTTCCGAATGTTTCACGTACCTCACGCCCAGAAGGCCTCGAAGGCAATTCGTAAGTCCTATTGGCCACTGGATCCAAAGGTGGGGCCCTGTGTTTAGCCCTGTGCTGGCTAAAAAGCGCGGGTATTGCGCCAGTTCGACAGCTGGGCGTAAAGAAAATTTCATGGTGCGACACTGTTTCGGCCCCGACAAAACCGGACCATCGGCAGCAGTTACCCCGCCGAAAAAGTCGGAGCTGAAGCAGTTGGTGCAGCTGTCGGAGTTTCTCCTAGTTCAACGGTCTACCCGACGACGGTGTAGCGGCGAAGAAGGGGTTTTTGAAGCTGTGGAGTTTTAACCGCGATAGACGCGGTGGGCAACGAAGCGGCCGGTCCGACTGTTTGATACGATAAACATGACCCGGCTACGATAGCGTTCGCGCCTTCACCGAATGTAAGAAAAATCGCGGGCAACACGGAGTTAAACCTCATCCGACAAAAGCGGACGCTGGGTGAACGGCGGCAAGCGAAATTGTCGGGGGGTGGAGACAAAAAACAAAATGGAGGGAAATTTGTAGGTGCTCCAGCAGATCTCCAGAGTGAAAGGTTGAGAGCGTGCGCCACTCCACCGCGAATTTCGGAGTCTATTCGGTAGACCCCCGAAAGGGTTTGATATTTTGACATGGAGGCGCGGCGAGGGGTGCATCGCCAAGGATAACTGGGATTCGCTAAGTAATTTCGACGGGTGCGAAGACGGGTGAACGTCGGAGTACAAGGGTCAACGGCGGAAACGTCGGGGTTACGCGGCGGAAAATACTTCGGGACTGCTTCAACAACCATGATTTTCGGGGTTCTTTCCTACGGTGGGAGACGAGTGAACGTCTGCTCGCCAGCTGTTTCAGTGGTTTACGGTGTACTTCGAAGCCATCTGGGGAAAATCTTCGGCGAGATCTGCGGCGTTGATGCGGGCTAGGTTCCGTGAAATTCGGTCTTGGTAGACCCATGATTCTGGGTTCCGCACGAAAGAGCTGTGAGAATTACAAGGGAATGAATGCACTAGGAAACAGGTGGGTACAAGTAGGAAAACCTAAAAGTGTTGTACCCTATATTGTCAACCCCACTACAGCCTACACAGACTATAGCATATAAGTTTGACACACCCCCATAGGCAAAGTGGGGGAGCACAAGAGGTCACAAGACCAGTCAAGCAAAGCACAGTAAGCTCAGGGTGGATCACAACGTCACCACACATTCCGAGCACAAGTTCAAGGCCACAAGGCCAGTTCACATGCAAGATTATATATATAAAGGTAAACAAGCAAGTGCAGGTATAGATGGATCACAGTACAAGCAAGGTCAAGCAGTGAGCAAGTGAGGCCAAGTAGGCACAAGACCTAGCATCGTACAAAAGCGCTGATGATCACAAGGCGGAAGTGCCTTGGTAAAGATATCAGCAGTGTTGGCCTGAGAGGCCACGTAAGCAAGGCGCAGCTGACCACGCTGCTGCAGCTCACGAGCAAGGAAGTAGCGAAGAGCAATGTGCTTCGTTCTATGCTCCAGTCTGTGCTCCCGACACAAGGCCAGCATGGCCTTGTTGTCTACGTACAGAACTGGAGGAGAACGAGGCGGCTCTCCTAGGTCAGTCAGCAGGTAGATGAGCCAGCGTAGCTCCTGTGCAGCCATGGCCCCCGCGTAGATCTCAGCCTCACAGCTGGAGCCGAGAACAGAAGGCGAGCAGGTAGACCGCCACGAAACAGAGCCGGAACCAAGGCTGAAGGTGTAACCCTGTGACGACCGCTGCGTAGCCTGGTCGTCAGCCCAAGAAGCGTCTGCGTGACCTGTGAGGACCACTGAACGCCGCCCTCCAAGCACTAGCCCCATGCCCGGCGTACTGCACAAGTAGCGCAACACCCTCTTCGCTGCAGCCATGTGCTCTGGTCGGTGTCTCCCAGGAGCAACATAGCGTGCCAAGATGCTAAGAGGGTATGCAAGGTCAGGTCGAGTGCAGGTCATCAGGTACATGAGGCAGCCAACAAGCTCTGGGTACAGGCCACTCGGCTCTACGGACTCATCCGAAGGCAGAGCTGAGAGCGAGTGGCGAGTAGACAGAGGAGTGGCCTGAGGCGAGGAGTACGTGAAGTCGAAGCGCTGAAGGACCTGCTGCACCATGTGTGACTGAGTCAGGGTAATGGTGCGCTGTGCTCTGTCCCGGGTGATCTGCAAGCCAAGGTAGCTGCGCAGTTCACCCAGGTCTGTGCACGTGTGTCTCTTCTGCAGCTCGGACTTCACGTGGGCGAGTCCAGCAGTGTCAGCAGTGGCAAAGACCAAGTCGTCGACGTACACGAGGATGTAGAACGGCGGCAAAGAGGTGTCGGTGCGTAGAAACAGCGACCGGTCGGCAGTAGAAGGAGCAAACCCAAGAGCCGCAAGTGTAGTCCTCAGTGTGTCGTGCCACTCACGGGGCGCCTGGCGGAGACCGTAGACTGGCCGCCGGAGGCTCCACTGGGTACCAGGAGGAAACGACCCAGTGAAGCCGGGAGGGCGGCGCAGCCAGATCTCCTCGTGCAGGATGCCCTGCAAGAAAGCTGTGCTGAAGTCAAGAGAGTGAAGCTCGTAGTCGCGCTGAGCGGCTATGTGCAGCAGCACCCGAAGAGTGGTCATCTTCGGGGTGGGAGAGAAGGTCTGAAAGTAGTCAACTCCCTGCCGCTGACTGAAGCCTCGAGCCACGTAACGCGCCTTGAAGACAGGCGGAGAACCCGGCGGCCGCTTCACCCTGAAAATCCACATGCCACTGACGATGTTCGCCCCAGGTGGGGGAACCTCGTCGACGTAGGTGCCTGTGGACTTCCAGGAAGCCATCTCTGCGTCCATGGCTGACTGCCACTGTGCGGAGTAGGGACCCTCAATCGCCTCAGCGTACGATCGAGGAGTCAGGATGTCTAGTGCATCCGGGTCTCCCTCAGGTGCAATCAGCATGGACACGAGATGAGGCAAAGCAGCAGCAAAACACTGGAACTCCTCCTGCCTGTCCTCAAGGACGTCCGTGCTAAGAGCACACTCACCCCCGACGGACGGAGGACAGACAGACTCAGAATCAACAACAAGACTAGCAGCGTAGTCTAGACGACAGCGAGCAGCAAAGTCGACAAGCTCAACAACTAAGGCAGACGCAGCAGTGGACTCAAAGGAAGGGTCAGTGACAGCAGTAGCCAGAAGACGCGTGACAGTAGGACTGGCAGCACGAAGGGAGTCAGACTCCGGGTCAGCAAGAGCAGGAAGAGAGGACTCTGGAGGAGACGGCAAAGGGACACGCAGTGGAGCAGTGGAAGGACGCAGCGCCATCTGGTGTGTGCCTGGGACTGCAGGAGGACGCGGACGCGGAACATGACTACTAGTGCGAGCAGCACGAACAGGCGACGCAAGACGAGACGCAGGCTCACGACGCTCAGCAAGACCTCCAGTAGGACCAGTGTAGGGAGAAGGAGCAGGCAGTGGGGAGGCGGGCTGTAACTGCGACTCAGACTAGACAGGCGGCGGACACTCTAAGGAAGGAGCAGGACCAGTAGAAGGCGGGAGACCAAGAACCTGCTGAAGGAGCGGAACACAGTACGGCCGCGGTCGCGCAGTGCCTCCAGAGCCAGCAGGGACAGCACCAGCACCCCCAGTGGCAACACCAGCACCAGGAGCACCCCCAGCTGCAGCACCGCCAACTCCAGCACCCTCAGAAGCACCAGCGCCAGCAGCACCTTCAGCGCCAACACCCCCAGCAGCTCCAGCTCCAGCCGGACCACCGGAAGACTCAACAGCCACAGCTCCAGCACCTCCAGCAGCACCTACTCCAGCAGCACCGCCAGCTCCAGCACCGCCAGCAGCTCCAGCACAAGGAGCACCCCCAGGCCCAGCAGCTCCAGCACCTCCAGTACGAGCACCTCCGGTTCCCGTGGCACCAACACCCTCAGTAGCAGCAGAACCACCAGCTCCAGCAGCACCTCCAGCTCCAGCAGCACGGCTCCAGCGCCGAGCAAACCACTCGCGCAGCTCCTGTGGAGAGGGCAGCTCCCGCCGGGACGAAGCACCCGAGGGACCTCCAGACCCAGTACCGCCAGACACCACACGAGCAGGCCCAGCACCCTCAGGCTCCGCACCCCCAGGCTCAGCACCCCCAGACTCAGCACCCCCAGACTCAGCACCCCCAGGCTCAGCACCCCCAGACCCCGCACCCGCAGGCTCAGCACCCCTAACAGCACCAGAGTCAACAGCTACCTCGACAGGCTCGACTGCGTCTACCTGAGACACACCTGAGGGGGCAGGACCCTGAGGGGGAAGGGGGTCTAC